GTTTAGTTGTCAGCCATAGACGGTTCCGCCAAGTGTTTTGACAGCAATACTGCAGCTACGGACCTGCGAATTCGACTGGCGAATGCGGCATAACCCACTACAGGTGCGAAAAATATCGGTTCTCGAAACGAATGTTTAAGTTTCTCACAAAGTTCGTCCAATCGACCCAAAGTTCGCACATTGTCCGTCGGCGCCGGGTCGGCGAACTAGTTGCACCCCGCGCCCGAATTCCTCTAGCTTATCGATGCCCAAGAGCTCTACGAGGAAACCCTCTAGCTCTCGCAGATCTCTCCGTCAAAAACCGACCAAGAGATCCCGGAGAGCTCTCTGAAGGCCACAAGGTTTTTGATACCTCCTAGAGCTCTTTGTTATCGATGAGCTAGAGAAATTCCAGCGCGGGGTGGAGCTAGTTAGTTGATCCGGCCAGAAAAGAAAATGCGATAACTTTGGGTCGGTTTGGCTAAGATTTGAAAGATATTTGACAATTCATTTTGAGAAAACAATTTTTTCGCACCTGTTGACGACTGCGAGGGCCTCTGCGTCTTAATATGAGCTCTGTAGGCGCACTTTTCCAGGGAACCGGCGGTAAACAGTCAACCTGGTCACCGCCGGACACCTCGTAGAGCTCTTTTCTTGCACGGCGCTCGTCGGAACACATGAAGAAAGCTTCTGGAGCGAGAAACGCAAAACTCAAAAAAAAAAAAAAAAACATATTAAGACGGAGAGACCCTCAGAATCGTTTACAGGCGCGAAAAATCTGCTTCCTCAAAATAAATGGTCAAATATCTTTCAAATATTTGCAAAACCACCCAAAAGTTGCCACATTGTCCGTTCTGGTCGGATCGACCAACTAGCTCTACCCCGCGCCGGAATTCCTCCAGCTCATCGATGCCGAAAAGCTCCACGAGGCACTGGGCGCCGGCGGTAAACCGTCAACCTGTCTTACCGCCGGGGGACTCGTAGAGCTTCCTGACAATATAAAATGTCGAAAAAAAAGCAGAGAACGAATGGTTTTTCAGCCCAAGCGATTTCAGACCTCTCGATGCAACAGCCGAACGCCCCCGACGCTTCTGGATTATCTTCTGTACGAGCTGTAGCTCTCCTACAGCCCGAGTTACGTGCGTAAATCGACAGCACCTCTGAAGATGACTCGAACAATACGACTAGTTTCGCAAACCTAGCTCGAGTATCAGACCGAGTTCAGGCCTCTGAATGCGCCAGGCGGACGCGTCTGATGTCGCCGAATCGATTCCTGTGATTACCAGCCCTGCAGCCCCCCTACAGCCCGAGTTAAGTGCAGAAAACCGACAGCATCTCAGGATGACTCGAACAATACGAATAGTTCTGCGGACCTAGTTCGGGCAGCAGACCGAGTTCCGAGCTCTGGATTCGTCAGACGGACGCGCCTGATGTCTCCAAATCGATTCCTGTGACTACCAGCACTGTAGCCGCCCGAAAACCCGAGTTAAGTACAGAAAACCGACAGCACATCTCAAGATGACTCGAACAATACGAGTAGTTTCGCGATTCTAGAGTGGGCAGCAGACCGAGTTCAGAGCTCTGGATTCAACAGACAAACGCGACTGATGACTCTGAATCAGTTTTTGTAAGCATCAGCTCTGTAGCTGTCATATAGCTCGAGTTAAGTACAGAAAACCGAGAGCGCCTGTCAAGATGACTCGTATAATACGAATAGATTTGCGGACCTAGCTCGGCTAGCAGACCGAGTTCAGACCTCTGGATGCAACAGACGAACGCGCCCGATCATTCTGAATCGATAAGGTGTGCTTACCAGCTCTGTAACTGTCCTGTATCTCGAGTTAAGTCCAATATACCGACAGCGCGCATCAAGATGACTCGAAACGGCCGATCCCGCCTGGGCGCTTTTTGGCAGTAAAAGGTACCCGATCGAGCTGAGATCAAGATGGCGAGCGGGAATAAGATCGAATATCAGGGAAAAAAAAAACTAGAGCTCCAAGGAATGGTTGAATTTCGAGGACAAAATTTTCAACCGACCAAAAGTCACCAACAGGTCCGCGAGATTTTTCTTGCCAACTAGCTCTCCAGCGCCCCGGAACTGGGAGCCGGCGGTAAACCGTCAACCAGGTCACCGCCGGGACCCTCGTAGAGCTCTGAATACACCAAGTCAGTTCCCTGATAACTGAGCGCCGGCGGTAAACCGTCAACCTTTCTCACCGCCGGGGGACTCGTAGAGCTTCCTGACAATATATAATGTCGAAAAAAATTGCAGAGAACGAATAGTTTTTCAGCCCAGGCGATTTCACACCTCTCGATGCAACAGCCGAACGCCCCCGATGCTTCTGGATTGTCTTCTGCACGAGCTCTGTAGCTCTCCTACAGCCCGAGTTACGTGCGTAAATCGATAGCACCGCTCAAGATGACTCGAACAAAACGAATAGTTGAGCAAACCCAGCTCGAGTATCAGACCGAGTTCAGACCTCTGAATGCGACCGGCGGACGCGTCTGATGTCTCCGAATCGATTCCTGTGATTCCAGCCCTGCAGCCCCCCTGCAGCCCGAGTTAAGTGCAGAAAACCGAGTGCACCTCTCAGGACGACTCGAACAACACGAATTGTTTCGCGGACCTAGTTCGGGCAGCAGACCGAGTTCCGAGCTCTGGATTCGACAGGCGGACGCGCCTGATGTCTTCAAATCGATTTCTGTGATCACCTGGACTGTAGCCCCCCTACAGCCCGAGTTAAGTGCAGAAAACCGACAGCACCTCTCAAGATGACTCGAACAATACGAATAGTTTCGCGATGCTAGATCGGGCAGCAGACCGAGTTCAGAGCTCTGGATTCAACAGACAAACGCGACTGATGATTCTGAATCGGTTTCTGTGAGTATCAGCTCTGCAGCTGTGCTATAGCTCGAATTTAGTACAGAAAACCGAGAGCGCCTGTCAAGATGACTCGAATAATACGAATAGGTTTGCGGACCTAGCTCGGCTAGGAGACCGAGTTCAGACCTCTAGATGCAACAGACGGACGCGCCTGATCATTCTGAATCGATAAGGTGTGCTTACCAGCTGTGTAGCTGTCCTGTATCTCGAGTTAAGTCCAATCAACTTACAGCGCGTATCAAGATGACTCGAAATGGCCTTTTTGGCAGTAAAAGGTACCCGATCGAGCTGAGATCAAGATGGCGAGCGGGAACAAGATCGAATCTCACGGGAAAAAATACTAGAGCTCTAACGAATGGTTGAACTCGAGAACAAAATTTTCAACCGACCAAAAGTCAGCAAAAGGTCCGTCGAGATGTTTCTTGCCAACTAGCTCTCCAGCGCCCGGAATTACTCTTAAGCTTCCAGCAACAACTTGCTAAGGGAAGCTCTAAGAGTTACAACAGAAAAACGCTTCTGAAAACAAGCTTGAAAAACAAAGAAATGTTGTTTTCGGTGTCACACAATGTTGGTTCCGTCTAGTTTTTTGATCGGAATAATGCAGCTAGAGCCCTGAGGATTGCATCATCGAAAGCGCCATGATTGACTCCACAGAATAAAAATTCGAATTCGCAAAATGAATTTCAAAATCTCTCGCAATCTTCGAAAAACCGAACCCAGGTCACCACATTGTCCGCCCTGGCCGGGTTGGCCAACTAGGCGCCGGTAAACCGTCCACCTTTCTACCGCCCGGGGACTCGTAGAGCTTCTTGACCATATATTATGTCCAGAGAATCAGCAGAGAATTAATAGTCTTTCAGCCGAGCGCTGATAGCCTGAGTAGCAAACCAAGTTCAGACCTCTGGATGCAACAGACGAACGCGCCTAGAATACCGAATCAGTTTCTCTTACTCTCCTACAGCCTGAGTTACGTGCGAAAACCTACAGCACCTCTCAAGGCGACTCGAAAAATACGAATAGTTTCGCGGACCCAGCTCGAGTAGAAGACCGAGTTCAGACCTCTGGATGCAACAGACGAACGCGCCTGATTATTCTGTATTTGTTCCTGTGCGTATGAGCTATGCAGCGCCCCTATACAAAAAAAAAAAAAATTCAAACAAAAAAGAAAAAAAAGAAAAAAAAAAAAAAAAACAGAAAAAAAAAAAAAAAAAAAAAAAAAAAAAAAAAAAAAAAAAAAAAAAAAAAGAAAAAAAAGAAAAAAAAAGAAAAAAAGAAAAAAAAAAAAATAAAAAAACAAAAAAAAAAAAAAACAAAAATAAGAAACAAAAAAAACAAAAAAAACAAAAAAAAGAAAAAAAAAAAAAAAAAAAACAAAAAAAAAAAAAAAAATAAAAAAAAAAAAAAAAAAAAAGAAAAAAAAAAACAACTAAAGAATAATAAAAACTGAAATAACGAAAAAATAAAAAAAACTCAACAGCTCGCATAGTAAGGGAATTACAAAAAAAAAAATCTTAAGACGCACAAGAAACACAAAAATCAAAAAGATGCAAAAAAAAAAAAATCAATGAAAAGCTCGAGTTAAGTACAGAAAACGGACAGTCCCTGTCGAGCTGACCCGAGCAATACGAATAGTTTTGCGGACTAGCTCGAGTAGCAGACCGAGTTCAGACCTCTGCATGCGACAGACAGACGCGCCTGATGTCTCGAATTCGGTTCTGAGGTTAACAGCCCTGTAGCCCCCAACAGCCCGAGTTGAGTTCAGAAAACCGACAGCACCTCTCAAGATCACTCGGACAATACGAATAGTTCCGCGCACCTAGCTCGGGCAGCAGACCGAGTTCAGACCTCTGGACGCAACAGACGAATGCGCCTCATGATTCCCAATCGATTTCTGCCAGTATATTCTACAGCGCATGGAAGCGTTTCTGGCACTGCTTCCGCAGCGCCCCAGGGGGGCTCCCCAAGGCTCTCCAGGAAAGATTTCCCGTCCCCGAGATTCTCTTCGCTCTCCGGGTTTTGGACGCTACCAATTCTACAGCCCGAGTTAAGTACAGAGAACCGACGACACGTGTCGAGATGACCCCAAATGGCCAATCCCGCCCGTGTGCTTAGTGGCAGTGATATCTACCCGATCGAGCTGATATTGAGATGGCGAGCGTTAGTGAGATCGAATATCACGGAAAAAATGCTTGAGCTCTAACGAACGCTGCAATTTCGAGAACAAAACTGGGAACTGGCGGTAAACCGTCAATCTGTTTTTTTGAGTTTGAGTCAGGGCGCGGACAGCTGTGACAGCTGAGCCCTAAGACTCCCAAACGGAGCACAGGGTAGCTAGAGAGGGCATCTCTGATCATCACACTGCCGAGCCACTGAGGCATAGGCAACGGAATAGGATGCAGGAACAAGGAAAAGGATGCAGTACAACATGTGAAATTGTAAAGGTGTTGGAGAGCTCCAAGCAAGATGAAATGAGTCAGCTGCTTGGATGAAAGATGCTACCCAAAATGTGCTCCACGGCCATACAGAGCCGTTGTGCTGCAATCATCTCCCAAAACATGACAGAAGCAGAGGCATCAAGCGAGAAAGCTTCCTCCGCCACCAATCTGGTTACCGCCGGGAACCTCGTAGAGCTCTTTTCTTGCACAGCAATCGTCGGAACACATGAAGAAAACTTCTGGATTGGAAAAAAAAGAAAAACTCGAAAAATCACGTGTTTCTGTTTTTTATCCAAGGTCGATTCCTCCAAGTGTTTTGATAGTAATACTGCACCTACGGACCTAAGAATTTGACTGGAAGACGCAGGTGCAAAAAAAACTGTTTTCTCAAAATGAATGTTCAAATATCTTTCAAATCTTAGCAAAACCGGCCCAAAGTCACCACATTGTCTCTCTTGGTCAGATCGACGAACTAGCTCCACCCCGCGCCGAAATTCCTCTAGCTCATCGATGCCAAGAGCTCTACGAAGTACTGCGAACCGGCGGTGAACCGTCAACCTGGTTTTGCGGACTTTGCGGTCGACTGCGCAGGCTTTCCAGCCTAGTCGGAGCAAGGAGCGGACGTATCCAAACAGGCAAGGCGTGAGTGAGCACAAACTCTTATTCACATCAAACCAGTCCGAAATACGCATGTTCAACCCGCCGTATGACAAGAGGCGCATGCTCAACGTCACATGTGAAGTAATCAACGAATTAGACGGGGAAACAACCCGTGGAAGAACGTCACCTGAAGAATATGAGGGGCTCCAGCCCTTTACACACCTGAAGCGCTTAGTGGGGCCCACAGCGGGCCGTAGAGCCATCATGGCTCCAGCGAGAGGTCAAACAGAGAGATAAAGTGAGGAAAACAAGAACAGGTGAGATACAAGCATTACAGCCTTCGCTGTTCTAAACCGAAAGTTGCATACAAGTGCGCACGAATAGCTTCATCCCAACTTCTCGAAACTCCTCGGGCGTCCGAAGAATATTATTCGGTAATCGCTGCACTTGGAAACCTCAAGAAACTTGGCCATCTCGGCGCGGTTCATTTGTCCTGTCAAGAACCTGTGCACCTCGAAGAATCTTAGAAGATCCTCCAGCGTCGCTTGCACATTCTGGAGCATCTCATACAGTTTCCGAGCATAATCTTGTTGGGCCTTCTTTGTAGGGAACCCACGTTCTGTCACCAGCTTATCAAACAAATCCATTCCGTTATTTAAATACTGGATCGCATTCAACTCGTTGATGCTGGCAACAGCGTCAATCCACGCTTTGACATCGGCAATGGTGGCCTGAGAGCACGTCGATGTCCCCATGACCTTGTCACGATCTCTCCCTCGAGTCCTCTGGCGCGACTCCTTCGATACCTCATTGAGCGTGACGGGACGATTCAGACACCCCTGGGACGCTCCTGACAAGGCGCGGCTATCAGAATCAGACTGCACGTTCGGAGAAGACTCCGCACTCGAGGGTGCCTCCAGCTCCTCCTCCGCCGCCACAGTCACTTTCCCCAGAAGAACTCCTGAAGCTCCTCCCTCCATCCCAACGACACTATCTGTCTGACAGCCGACTTCACAATGAAAGTCCGCAACATCAACCGTCTGCACTCCAACATCAACCAGCGATTCAGAAGCCTGCACTCCAATATCTACATCAACCAGCGATTCAGAAGCCTGCATACGGCAAGAAAGATTCTCCGAAACAGTCTTAATGTCAGCCTCCTCCTCCTCCTCCAAACTGCGTTTTTAACAACAGGTGGATCGCGCAACAAGAGATAATCTAGAACCAAATCGGCAGTCGCCCGCTCCAGCCCTGGTGGTGGGAGACACGTAGGTGGCACCAAACCATCCAAGGGCAAACGAATAGGTAAATGCACACAGTATCCGTTTTGAACAGCCAGCGCCCGACGCATAATGCGAGCACTTGCACTCCGTACGTGTGGCATAACGAAAGATTGCAGAGACTGCCTCGGAAGCACCCAGCAAAACAAATCAATTGAAGACAACTCAAGGCGATCAAACGTGTCAAATGAATGGCAGCGCAATATCACTCTAGGCGACAAACGTGTGAAACAAATCAATTGAAGACCACTCAAGGCGATCAAACGTGTCAAATGAATGGCAGTGCAATATCACTCTAGGGGACAAACGTGTGAATCCCTGACGCGCACTCGATCCCACTGGAGGTTACCTAGGCAGAGGGGATCAAATGTCAAGCGCCTTGAGCCGAGATTTTCTTGAGCCGGGAACCTCGTAGAGCTCTTTTCTTGCACAGCAATCGTCGGAACACATGAAGAAAGCTTCTGGAGGGGGAAACGAAAAACTCGAAAAATCATGTTTTTTTCTGTTTTTATCTAACATCGGTTCCCCCAAGTGTTTCAATAGTAATACTGCACTATGGGGCTGAAACTTTTACTGGCGGACGCGCAATAACTCACTACAGGTGCGAAAAATCTGCTTTCTCAAAATGAATTGTCAAATATCCTTCAATTTTTTGCAAAACCACCCAGAAGTTATCACTTTGTCCTTTCTGGCCGGGTCGGCCAACTAGCTCCACCCCGCGACGGAATTCCTCTAGCTCATTCATGCCGAAGAGCTCTACGAAGTAGGGGGAACCGGCGGTAAACCGTCAACCTGATCACCGCCGGAAACCTCCTAGAGCTCTTTTCTTGCACGGCGATCGTCGGAACAGATGAAGAAAACTTCTGGAGCGAGAAACGAAACACTCGAAAATTCACGTTTTTCTGTTTTCATTCAACGTCAGTTCCCTCAAGTCTTTCGATAGTAATACTTCAGCTGCCGACCTGAGAATTTTACTGGCAGACGCGGCATAGCCCACTACAGGTAGGAAAAGTCTGGTTTCTCACTTGGTAACGTCCAAAACCCAGAGAGCAAAGTGAGCACACGCCACAGAAAGCTTCCCTGGCGGGCCGTCCGACGCTCCCGTAAAGCGCTTCTGGGGCTCTGAGGGGCTCCCCTGCAGCGTCTCTGAAGCGCTGCCAGGAACGCTTCCACGCGAGCCTGCACGCGTGCAGGCACGCGTTTACGCTTGCGGGAAGCTCTTCCGGACCCGCTGCGACGTTTTACAAGCCCCTGCGGGGATCGTGGAGCGGCGGAGATAGGCTGCCGGCGGGCACCACCACCGCCCGGCTTCTAATCTTAAACCTTCTAGCTCTCAGAAAGCTCTCCGGGAAAAATGAATTGTCAAATATCTTTCAAATCTTAGCAAAACCTACCCAAAGTCAACACATTGATTCTTTTGGTCGGGTCGGCCAACTAGCTCCATCCCGCGCCAGAATTCCTCTAGCTCATCGATGCCGGAGAGCTCTACGTAGCGTCCAAAACTCGGAGAGCAAAGGGAAAACACACCAGAAAGCTTTCCTGGCGTACCCTTTAACGCTCTCGTACAGCTCTTTTGGCGCTCTGGGAAGCTCCCCTGGAGCGCGGCTGAAGCGCTGCCACTTGGTAGCGTCCAAACCCGGAGAGAGAAGAGACCCTTCAGGGACGGGAAAAAAGGAAATCTGTCCTGGAGGGCTCTGGGAAGCCCCCCTGCAGCGCTGCTGAAGCGCTGCCAGAAACGCTTCCATGCGTGCCTTCACGCGCACAGGCACGCGTGGAAGCTTGCCGGAAGCTCTCCCGGACCAGCTGCCGGGTCGGGCGAGGCGCCGCGGGGAACGTGGAGCGACGGAACGGAGCTCCTGGCGGGCACCACCGTCCGGCTTCTAATCTTAAACCCTTTAACTCTCAGCGAGCTCTCCGGGAAAAAACGCTTCCATGCGTGCCTGCACGCGTGCAGGCACTCGTGGAAGCTTGCCGGAAGCTCTCCCGGACCCGTTGCCGGGTCAGGCGAGTCTCTGCGGGGAACGTGGACCGCTGCGGAGAAGCTCCTGGCTGGCACAACCACCGTCCGGCTTCAAATTTTTAACCCTCTAGCTCTCAGCGAGCTCTCCGGGAATTTTCAACTGAGCAAAAGTCAGCAAAAGTTCCGTCGAGATTTTTCTTGCCAACTAGCTCTCCAGCGCCCCGGAATTACTGTTAAGCTTCCAGCAAGAACTTGCTAAGGGAAGCTCTACGAGTTACTGGGCGCCGGCGGTAAACCGTCAACCTTTCTTACCGCCGGGGGACTCGTAGAGCTTCCTGACAAAATATAATGTCGAAAAACAAATTGCAGAGAACGTGTAGTTTTCCAGCCCAGCGATTTGAGACCTCTCGATGCAACAGCCGAACGCCCCCGATGCTTCTGGATTGTCTTCTTTGCGAGCTCTGTAGCTCTCCTACAGCCCGAGTTACGTGCGTAAATCGACAGCACCTCTCAAGAACACTCGAACAATACGAACAGCTTCGCGAACCTAGCTCGAGTATCAGACCGAGTTCAGACCTCTGAATGCGACACGCGGACGCGTCTGATGTCTCCGAATCGATTCCTGTCATTACCAGCCCTGCAGCCCCCTACAGCCTCAGTTAAGTGCAGAAAACCGACAGCACCTCTCAGGATCACTTGACCAATACGAATGCTTCGCGGACCTAGTTCGGGCAGCAGACCGAGTTCCGAGCTCTGGATTCGACAGGCGGACGCCCCTGATACCTCCAAATCGATTCTTGTGACTACCAGCACTGCAGCCCCCATACAGCCCGAGTTAAGTACAGAAAACCGACGCACCTCTCAGGATGACTCGAACTGGGCGCCGGCGGTAAACCGTCAACCTTCCTTACGCCGGGGGACTCGTAGAGCTTCCTGATAATATATAATGTCGAAAAAATGCAGAGAACGAATAGTTTTTCAGCCCAAGCGATTTCAGACCTCTCGATGCAACAGCCGAACGCCCCCGATGCTTGTGGATTGTCTTCTTTGCGAGCTCTGTAGCTCTCCTACAGCCCGAGTTACGTGCGTAAATCGACAGCACCTCTCAAGATGACTCTAACAAACTGGAAGAAAAAAAAAAAAAAAAAAAAAAAAAAAAAAAAAAAAAAAAAAAGAAAGGAAAAAAAAAAAAGGGAAAAAAAAAAAAAAAAAAAGGAAAAAAAAAAAATAGTTTGGAAACCCAGCTCGAGTATCAAACCGAGTTCAGACCTCTGAATGCGACAGGCGGACGCATCTGATGTCTGCGAATCGATTCCTGTGATTACCAGCCCTGCAGCCCCCCTACAGCCCGAGTTAAGTGCAGAAAACCGACAGCACCTCGCAGGATGACTCGAACAATACAATAGTTTCGCGGACCTAGTTCGGGCAGCAGACCGAGTTCTGAGCTCTGGATTCGACAAGCGGACGCGCGTGATGTCTTCAAATCGATTCCTGTGACCACCAGCACTGTAGCCCCCCCCAAGCCCGAGTTGAATGCAGAAAACCGAGAGCACTTTTCAAGATGACTCGAACAATACGAATAGTTTCGCGATTCTAGATCGGGCAGCAGACCGAGTTCAGAGCTTTGGATTCAACAGACGAATGCGACTGATGATTCTGCATCGGTTCCTGTAAGTATTAGCTCTGTAGCTGGCGTATAGCTCGAGTTAAATACAGAAAACCGAGAGCGCCTGTCAAGATGACTCGAATAATACGAATAGGTGTGCGGACCTAGCTCGGCTAGCAGACCGAGTTCAGATCTCTAGATTGAACAGACGAACGCGCCTGATCATTCTGAATCGATTAGCTGTGCTTACCAGCTCTGTAGCTCTTCTATAGCTCGAGTTATCTTGAGAAAGCCGTCACCGTGTGTCAAGATGACTTGAAACGGCCGATCCCGCCTGCCTGCTTTTTGACAGTAAAAGGTACCCGATCGAGCTGAGATCAAGACGGCGAGCGGGAATAAGATCGAATATCAGGGGAAAAAATACTGAAGCTCTAACGATAGTTCAAATTTTGAGAACAGAATTTTCAACCGACCAAAAGTCATCAAAAGATCCGTCGAGACTTTTCTTGCCAACTAGCTCTCCAGCGCCCCGGAATTACTGGGCGCCGGCGGTAAACTGTCAACCTTCCTTACCGCCGGGGGACTCGTAGAGCTTCCTGACAATATATAATCTGGAAAAATGCAGAGAACGAACAGTTTTTCAGCCCAAGCGATTTTACACCTCTCGATGCAACAGCCGAACGCCCCCGATGCTTCTGGATTGTCTTCTTTGCGAGCTCTGTAGCTCTCCTACAGCCAGAGTTACGTGCGTAAATCGACAGCTCCTCTTAAGATGACTCTAAGAGAGCGAATAATTCGGCAACCCAGCTCGAGTATCAAACCGAGTTCAGACCTCTGAATGCGACAGGCGGTCGCGTCTGTGTCTGCAAATCGACTCCTGTGATTACCAGCCTGCAGCCCCCCTACAGCCCAAGTTAAGTGCAGAAAACCGACAGCACCTCTCAGGATGACTCGAACAATACAATAGCCTCGCGGACCTAGTTCGGGCAGCAGACCGAGTTCCGAGCTCTGGATTCGACAGGCGGACGCGCGTGATGTCTTCAAATCGATTCCTGTGACCACCAGCACTGTAGCCTCCCCAGCCCGAGTTGAGTGCAGAAAACCGAGAGCACTTCTCAAGATGACTCGAACAATACGAATAGTTTTAAGTACAGAAAACCGACGCACCTCTCAGGATGACTCGAACAATACGATAGTTTTGCAAATCTAGATCGGGCAGCAGACCGAGTTAAGAGCTCTGGATTCAACAGAAGAACGCGACTGATAATTCTGAATCAGTTTCTCTAAGCATCAGCTCTGTGGCTGTCATATAGCTCGAGTTAAGTACAGAAAACCGAGAGCGCCTGTCAAGATGACTCGAATAATACGAACAGGTTTGCGGACCTAGCTCAGCTAGCAGACC